TTGAGTGCTCAGCAGCGCGTGTCTTACTTTCCTGGTGAAGCACGTACAGTTTGTCGTAGACGGTTGTAATGCAAGGCCTACACTCAAGTACTATCAGAAAAGAAGAGAATTGTGGCCAACCATTTGTCTCCACGCAACCTAAGGAGAAGAGGACAGCGCAAGCAGAGGATGTGGATCTCTAGTCTAGAGCGGCAAAATAACGTCTGGCCACGTGTTTTCAGGATTTCCGCATATGGGAGGATCTCGATCTGAGATCGTCTATCAGGAACTGGCCTCACGTGAGCTGTTTCAGAGGAAGACATTATTCAGAGAGTGGATCCATTGAAGCAGTGGCAGTTTGTCTGCAGGCAGGAATACTATTTCCCAAGACAAACTTCATCCCAGCGATGACCTGCAATAATGGATTCACCTCTCACTACATGGATAAGCAAGGGAGAAGATTTGATACCCCCACTATTCAACCAAAGCCCTGCATCAAAGTTGCAATGGAGAGCAGCCAATGGAGACGCGATCATGTCTTATAGTGCTAAGAAGTGGTGGAGCTCGAGAGAGATATTGCAGCAGCTTCAGAGGCACATCGACAATATGCATACTTTCCTGGAAGTTTGATAATGTGCAGCTGTTACTAAGAAAAGCTCACTAAAGGGAACGCACACTCACACAGTGACACATTCCACATTCGTGCACAACGGAAAGCGATTCGAAGAAACAATAACCTTGAACTTTCTACATGAACTCCGAAAAGCAACTGTTCACACCAACTAGTCTAAAACACTACTAAAAGTCCAACAACCAGGAACTAAACAAAAGCAGCGCAGCACAGCGCGGCGCAAGCTCCGGTGCATGCATCCGGGAACTCGCGAGACAGAAGCATGCACGTGACCGCTCAGGTCTACAGTCAATGCTACCATGAATGCAAGCATACTAGAAGCAGATGCGTAGCAGTACAGCACAACCATGCATGTGACATAATTATAGTCGTTGGTTCAGACCTCGGGATCTTCTGAACAGCAGCCTTCTTCCATTTTTGTTCCAAGCCAAGAGCATTATAGCCCTTGTTGAAGCATTATAATCAGCATTTAATATAAGGTAGTTTTTGGGGCATTATGATTAGCATTATACATGTATGAACATTTTCGGAGCATTATCCGCTGGACCCTAGTGACTAGTGTGCATACATGTATTATGCGCACGTAGGGTGGAGATGTACGAGTATGCAGAAAAATTGGCAGATAATGGCAGTCCTAGCCTGGTATATTTTCTGGTACTAGTACATGTACATGTACATGTATGGTATGATATAACCTAACACTGGTTAAAAACCACACCTTCACCAGCTGCCGGTCAATCTAACAGTTTAGTACATGTATGTACAATGTACATGTATGTATGTATGTATGTATGTATGTATGTATGTATATTTTTATTTGAATTCGCAAGTACACACGGGCTACAAGCCTAATTACATGGAAGCGAATGCCATAATGAGGCCAATTAAGAAAAAAAGGTGGAGGAAGGAGGAGGACGGTAGCAAAGCAACAGGGAGGACAATGTACATGTACATGTACAATGTAACTTTGTAAGCCTATGGACGCCGGGTTGACAGCATGTTACAAGGCGGAAGTAGTATGAGGAGTAGAGCTACTAGAGCGATACTGGATACTACTGGCGGCCCTGAGGACGCACGAGTATTGACTATTGTGTCGAAAACAGTGCTTCAGTTTTACATTTGTGTACAGTGAAACCTGTCTAAGACGACCGCTCAAGGGACCCTTCAAAACGTGGTCTACATTACCAGGTGGTTCCTTATCCAGGGTCGTTTGACTCAGGGAAATAGCATCCCTTGCTCCTGGTTTCAGTGATCTTCTAGGACAGGTGGTGACTGGTAGTAGTAGCAGTAGTAGAATTTAATATTTTGAAAGGGAACGCCCTACAGACGTTGCCGTCTTGTTACAGGGAACCCTAAGTGCTCTTTACAGAGCGGAACAAAAACGGATAGATGCTCAACCTGACGACACGAGACAGGCAGAGAATTCCACCTATCAGCGCCAAGGAAAGAAATACAGAACATGCCATATCTAGTGGTAGCAGCGTCACCTTATCCGAGTGGTCGCCTTCACAGGTTTTACTGTATGTACGCGTACATGTACATGTACAGCAAAACTGAACCATCATCGGTTGCAAGGCTGGGGCTCTGCCAACCAATGAATGGTATGTGGATAAAGAAATGGAGCAGAATTCAAGGATGTGCCTGCCATAGAATGATAAGCCGGTTTGTATTGTTCTGCCATTTCGCTAGGCCTTGACGGATTATGCTAGCATAATTTTTCGCATAATTCCTACCAAAATCGAATAATCGCATAATTCGAGGCAAATTGCATACGAATCGCATAAAATTGTAATAATCCGCCTGTTCGCATCAAATTCCATACAGTTGTACATGTTCTACAAGTACAAGTACAAGTAGATGCACTAGGAAGTTGTAGGTTTACGACTCCCTTGGTAACATGTCCAGTCCACTACAATCAGTGATGGTCGTAGCTAGGTCGGACGGTGCGTTGACCCCGTTGAACTTTTGCTATTACAGTACAACGCCCTCTACAAAAAAATTCCCCTGTTATTTTGCACAGAACCATTATGCATTAGCAGCATATGTGAGCATAATGCGGCATAATATGGTAACTTTTAGCATAAAAATAGCATAATTCTGCAATTTTTTCAGCAATGCGAAAAGCATAATTTCACGAAAATATTAGCATAATCCGTCAAGGCCTACATTTCGCTGCTTTTCGAGCGGAATCTGACCAAGCATTCAAGTATCCGCTGCCAATGGCAATACAGTAAACCTGTCAAGGCGACCACCTCCTGTCCTAGAAGTTGATAAATATGGTGTCCTAGAAGACCACTGAAACCGGGACCAAGGGATCCTCGGATGTCAGTCGAATGACCCTGGATAAGGAAACCACCTGGTAACAGAGACCACGCTTTGAAGGTCCCTTGAGTGGTCGGCTTAGACAGGTTTCACTGTACAAAGTCATTGACTACAGTACTCAGTAGTCTTTGCAAGTCTCAGCCATACCAGTCCAGGGCCCAGGGGCCAGGTGCCGGAGGATGATCCGACCACGACGGACGTACCTGAGCTTAGTGAGCTAGCTACAGCTGAGGTGTGACGACTCTGAGTCTGAGACGCGTCGACGACATGCAGTCAGTGAGGTCATGGCGTTCATCTGACCATCCAGGCTGACATGACTGTACTCCTTCCAAAACTCGCGCGGGAGTCGGGACCTATGCTGGAGACAGTGGAGTCATCGACACCTAGTACCAAGAGTAGATAAACAAGAGTGTGCAACTCCAGCTATGGGGTCTGCGACGGCAGAACTTCACATCACGTGATGAACCCGTGCACTCTAGTGCATGATAGATACTGGGTTGTACGCAGCCCAGCTTTGGGTACAACTCTCTTGTGGTCACTTTGCACTGTTTGCCAGCATAACCTTTTGAACCATGTCACGTGATGTGAAGTTCTGCCGTCGCAGCACAGCATAGAGGTTGTGCAGGCAGTTGCACACTCTTGTTTATCTACTCTTGCTAGTACCAAGAGTCCATAACCCAAGAGTATGCAACTGTGATCTCTTTTCTATGGGCCAACCGCGCGGCGCGCTGCCTTCATTACATCATTCAGCTGCAGTCCGCGCACTGCGGAAAATCAAACACCGCACTTTCCCTCTAGTTTGAAATGAACTTTCGTACGGAACTGGAGTTCACGCGCCAGAATTCAGAGATTGTGTAGGTACTGGAACGAATCGAGCAAAAACGGATGGGCTCGTGCGAGAAATTGAGAGTTTGAATGCATGCTTTCAGAGCGTGATGAAGGCAAGTTACGTAATGAAGGCAGCGCGCCACGCATGCACCCATAATCACAGTTGCATACTCTTGGGTTATGGACTCTTGCTAGTACTAGTAGTACCTACAGTCCATTCATAAAAAAAAATGGGTCCTGGCTCTGGCGAGCTCCCGTATTTGGCGATTTTTCGTGATTTCATCGTACACAGTGCAGTGCTGCGAACTTTGAAATTTGAAAAAGGGTCCAAAAAGGGTGCCTGAACTGGGGTTCGAACCGCAGAATGCACTGTTGCAGGCGGGGTCAAACGGCCTGGATTTTGATGGTTTTTCCCAATTCAGTGCTTTTGGGGCAAAACCTGGCCGAAATCCTATTCTTGCTATGGCTTGCTTTTTGGACAAAAAAACTTCAGAAACATAATTGGAAGAGGATTCCATATGGGATTGCAGAAAAAAATTCTAAAAAAACTCAACGTTTGACCCATTTATGGCCAAAAGCTAGAAGTTCATTTTTTTCTGAATGGACTGTAGTACCTGTTGTCTGTACCGTCCCAGCTGGCTTGCGCAGTGGCTAGCACTGAGCGCTGAGCAGTCTGTCACGACACTAGTCACTAGTCTAGTGGCGGCACTAGTGCACTGAGGAGTCAGCACGACCACGGACCAGGCCATGGCAGGGCTAGGGAGCTACAATTATTGCACTAGTGCACTGAGGAGTCAGCACGACCACGGACCAGGCCATGGCAGGGCTAGGCTAGGGAGCTACAATTATTTGTAGACGTACAACATGTGTAGGCTGTAGATCTACAGCAGTCTCAGCTGAGGCTGTAGCCTCAGATCGATCAGAGTGTAGGCGCGCTAGGCCCTGGCCAAGGCAAATAAAAATGAAAATTAATAATGTCACCATGATCACTGACAAGACACAGATGCATGGTGGAGTACCGGTAGTACAGCTAGCAGCTATAAAACGGTGCATGCATGGACCGGTACGCGGTACGGTAGCGCTTCTGCACCATGTACCATGCATATGCGCATGCAGTGCCAGTAGGCCGGTTTTTGGCTTTTTTTTCAATCGTCAGATTTTTCCACGTCAGCTTTGCAAACACTACCGGTACGCTGCACACATTCTACGGACACGTGTGCTTGAAACGCGTCCATTTGGAACGTGGAGAGCAAAGAAAGTGTACGACTCCCTGGTGGAAAGTCTTGTTCAGTTGATTTCTCAAATCGGCTTCTGAAGTTCTGGAAGGTCAATCAATTTCCAGTCGAGGCCAGTGTATTCACCATGTCGTTGCTAAAACTTAGTGCAGTCGTGCTGGTCGCTTTCTGCGCAGTTACCTTGGCTGCGGATCCCAACGACCGACTCCACTCACACCTTGGTGGTGACGAGGAGCATGTTACTTCTGAAGGCGATCACAATCCAGATTTCGATCATGAAGCATTCGCAGGCAGTGAGAACCAGGAGTTCTCCCAGCTTCCACCAGAGCAAGCCAAAGAAAAACTCCGGTAAACCATCTTGTAGCATAACATCTTGACTGCACTTCTCTCTTTTACTTGTTGAAAACAAGCTGAAGGGAATCGAATTTTATACAAAAAGAACCACAATTTTTGTAGTGGTTTTGTTTTGCAGCACTCCTAGTATGTACTAATGCATATCCCAGTAGGTCAATATATATGATGTTCGACTACATGTACTTCAAAAATGAAATAAAATTGCCAAAGAAGAAGAATGTTTGCGGCCGCCTGTGATTCTCGAAGCAGCTGGCTACTAGCGTGCTTTAGAACGGCGTGCCAATCCAGCACCACAGACTACAGGTCATTATGCGGCAACTATGGGGTGGTACAACTTTGTAATGTAGTACATTTTCAACATCATGTACTATTTTCTTGAACGAGTGGAGTATGCGGGTTTTATGCATAGTTTCTCGAAAACGTGCATGAAAGCCAATAACGCGGAAAATTGCGTGCCCGCGTAATCGCATTATCCTGTTGGGAGGATATTCATGCTCCCAAGTTCGAGGGAGTTGAAACGGGAAAAGTCTGAAAAAAAATGGGCTGTCACCACCAGGACTCGAACCAGGGACCCTCACTGGTGGACTGCGATGCTCTACCACTAGGCTACGGTGTAGTCGTCACCTTAGCAGCGACTGTTCAACCACCCTGCCCATCTTAGGATGGGCAAAATCGGTGGACGGGACAGAACACATACAGTCAACTTCGCTAATAGGCCTTATGCGCATTGTACAGATGCACGAAATCTCGTAGAATTTGTAGAATCCCGTAGACCCGGTTGGGTGTTGAATGTGCAGAGCCCTATTGTGGTTTCTTCAATTTCCACTAAGAAATGGGCTCTGAAGGCATTTCATACGAAAACTTTTTTTCTGACTAAGATCTAGCTAGTTTTTAGTTCTAACCAAAGTGAAAAGCTGGAAAAGCGATTGTTTGCCATTAATTATGAGGCTAAAATTGGTCAAATGTGCATGCATAGCACACAATGAACACCCAACCGGGTCTGTACACACCTACGGTCCTAGTACAGAACTTTGTACATCTGTACAATGTGCATAAGGCCTATAATGACTGCGGATATAACGACAATTCGCGAATAACGACAGAATTTCCATGCCCAGAGCAAAGTCCATTCTACCTGTATACATACAATGAGACGTCGGGTATAACGACACTTCGCGAATAAGGACACTTTCTGATGCCCGGCCGAATGTCGTTATACGCAAAGTTGACTGTATTCACTTGAAGACATGTAGCTCACGGGACTGCTCAAGTAGGTACTCTAAAACCGGAAAATTTCGGTGGAGTTTTATTTTCAGTACTTCAGAAACTTCGGTATAGGTATTTTTCACCTAAAATAAAACGCACTGAAAATATATGTACATGCATTGCGGAAAACTATTTTACCGAAATTTTCGCTCTACTGAACCGTTGATTTTGGGAAAAATACCGAAAATATTACACCACCGCAAATATCCTGGTTTTACCGTACATGAACATGGGTGTCCAAAACATGTCAAAGAATGATTTTCAGAGTCTGACTATGCACACATTGCTTATGCCAACGACAGTCTGTTATGCTGGTCATGCAGTCTGTTTGATGTTGAAAGAGGTTTTGACGATCAAGGGCGTGATTGTACGTGGCTGTTCTGTCCCCTTTCTGTTCCCTTTGCAGTATCATGGCAATGAAGGTTGATGTGGACGGCAATGGACGCGTCACCAAGGCTGAGCTGACCACCTGGATTGTCAAGCAGATGAAGAGGTAGATGATCAGACTAGTAGTACCCTGCAGATGTCCAGATGGGTCATGCATGGCCTTGGCCTTTACCCTGATCTTGAAATGCACTATGAAGCAGAGCTCATCAGGCACTATGACTACATATCAATCGATATATAAGGTACTTCTTAGAATTTCTTGAAAAAGGTGTGTGTATGTGTGTCCCTGAATTTCTGTAGATATGTGGAAGATGATGCTGACCAACAGTGGAAGAACTTGAACTTCAACGAGGACGAGCTCGTGTCATGGGCAGAGTACAAGAACGGAACGTATGGATCCATGTCTGAAGATGGTGGTGAGTTGAAACTGTTATTGGTGTCTGTGTGTGTGTTCGTGTGTGCGCGTGCATGTGTGTATATGTGTGTATTATGATAATGAACATTTGTACAGATGCATATGCTGGCCAGCGTAGCTTTTATTGTACCCAATGCTCCAGTCTACGCATGTAATCTTTTTAAATCGACAAACACACAATGTGTTTTGTTTTCTTTCTGTGTGTGTGTGTGTATGTGTGTATATGTGTGTATGTGTGTGTGTGCATGTGTGTGTATGTGTGTACATGTGTGTGCATGTGTGTGTATATGTGTGTGTGTATATGTGTGTGTGTATATATATGTGTGTGTGTGTGTGTGTGTGTGTGTGTGTGTGTGTGTGTGTGTGTGTGTGTGTGTGTGTGTGTGTGTGTGTGTGGCTGCATCACCCACCAACGCTGTACCACGCAGCCGAGGGCGAGGAAGACCAGTCGTTCAGTGACCTGCTGACCCGCGATCGTCGTCGCTACGACCATGCTGATATCAACAATGACGGCGTCCTGAGCCGTGTGGAGTTCTCTTCCTTCCTTCACCCCGAGGAGGATGAGCATATGAGACCATTGGTTGTTGAGGTATGTTCTGATCTGGACACATGGTCATGTTCCTTGTATTTAAATAAGGTTGATACAAGTGAATGTAAATAATCGACGCGGAGACAACAATTTTATAATAGCTATAAAGAGAACAAATTCTGCTGTCATCGCCACACTACAACAAAGTCATGAAGGTTTACCAAAATCGATTTTCTTGTCACAATCATCAGTGGAAAGCCGTGACTGAAGAATAACCATGCCAAATCAATAATTTATATACATTCAATAATGTGTTACGAGAACAAAACAAAGTGCTAAAAATAGAATGAGGGAAGGTGAGACAATAGAAGTAAAGTGAGAGCTAAGTGCAACAGGGGTGAGTTCTAGACGTCCTTGTGGAAAAGTCTAGTCAGGGTACAGTAACATCTGTGTACAGAAAGCCTACATTCACCGGCCAGTACATAATGTTTGACTCGTATTGTTCGTACCAATACAAGGTGAATTTAGTGCGTAACTTGGTGGATCGAGCAAACCGTATTTGCTCCTCTTCCAAACTGGCTGAGGAACTGGACTTCCTAAAGTCAGTTTTTCTAAAGAACGGGTATCCCGACGATCTCTTGAAGGAGCTCATGAGCGAAAGGCTGCATAGAAAGGAAATACGTTTTGGCCCGGACAAATGTCCCACGTATCTTTCTCTCCCTTGGAAAGGTAACCTCTCATTATCCATGAGTCGCGTAGTCCGCAAAATTGTACAACAAACGTATTACGCGGTACATTTTGTACCGGTTTTCACAACTGTACGTGCGTTCACGGTGAGGAAGGATGTCCTACCAACCCAACTCGCATCTAAATTGGTATACCAATTTGAGTGCCGACAATGCGGTAGTCGGTACGTTGGTAGGACTCTTCAACATCTGAACGCACGTATCAAGCAGCACGTTCCACTGCACATGCTGACTGGCTCGGCACGGGCACTGCGACCCAAACGCGGCAGGCCACCTAAGAACCCTCGATCAGAGCCATCGTTAGCACAATTGCCGTCGACGGCAATAGTGCCTCCATTACCCGTATCGAGAGCCGTGGAGATGGATAATGTGCACATTGTCACTAACGTTATAACACAATGCACCATAACAACACAAGAAAGTACACCACAACAACATCCAGCTCAAGACCAAAGTGGACGCTGCGGCGAGGTGATCATGGTGATGCCCCCATCGCCATCGTTGCCGTTGCCTCCCCCAGAACCGCCACCTGCATCTGCCATCGGCAGTGCTGGGGCTGAGTCTGTGGTGTCGCTGGCACGGGCAAATATGGATGAGGTAAGCACTGAACATGAACAAGAAGAAAGAAGGCTGAAGGAAACGGAATTCAACAGAGAAAACAACACGATCAACATTCAAAGACCTAGACGATCAACGGCTAATTATTCAATGAATTATTACAGTACTGGATGTCAAGCACCGGCGAAGACACTGGGAACAGAAGATTTAGCAACAACAGGAACAACAACAATGACAACAACAACAATGGTAACAAATTACCATCAAGATCAAAGGAGGAGTCAACGAACAGAGGTTCAGCAACGTGAAGCGAGCCTGGGACCGATCGGTGGTGATGGGGAGAATGACACGGAGGACGACACTGAGGACGAGTTGGAAGATGAGACGGGGGACGAGGTTGCGGTTGGTGGAGACGAGGAATCGGATGGTGATTGTGATCGTAAGAAGTCTGCCGTTTTTCTTCATCTGTTGTCTCACCCTAAGTGTCTGCAGGTGTATGATGATTGTAGTTTTTCTGTTCTTTGTCGTGCACGGTACGCTAGTCAATTGAAAGTACTTGAGGCTGTTTGTATTCGTTTGCATAAGCCTAATCTTTGTAAGCAGAAGAAACATGTAGTTGCGTTAAGATTGTTTTCGTAGGTGCACAGCATGATTGTTTGTCTCACTACACAGTTCTAGCGTTGCAATTAGTTCCTCACCCCTGTTGCACTTAGCTCTCACTTTACTTCTATTGTCTCACCTTCCTTCATTCTATTTTTAGCACTTTGTTTTGTTCTCGTAACACATTATTGAATGTATATAAATTATTGATTTGGCATGGTTATTCTTCAGTCACGGCTTTCCACTGATGATTGTGACAAGAAAATCGATTTTGGTAAACCTTCATGACTTTGTTGTAGTGTGGCGATGACAGCAGAATTTGTTCTCTTTATAGCTATTACAAGTGAATGTACAGTCAATTTCGTGTTTAACGACCTCGGGTGTAACAACAACTCGCGATTAACGACACGGTCTTCAGACATAGTGATCATTTTGCTGCATACTTTGAACCTCACGAGCAACGGCAATTTGAAATCTTTTAATACCGACACTTTTCAACTCATGATCGAGGATCGTTGTTCCCAAGTTTGACTGTATACGGAATCAAGAGTACATAACCCCCCAGAGTGTGCAACGCCTGATCCAGCTCTGCATAGGGTCTTGGTCGAGCGGAATCAGATCTTTGCGTCATAATACCGTACGTACGCATCTGAGGGGAACCCGGGGAGTCGCGGGTACTCTCGGACCAAAAACTATGGTGCTCTGCCTCGAGACCGGCCTTGCGCTGGTGTGGAGTGTACGCATGACAGAAGATCCGATTCCGCTCGACCAAGACCCTATGCAGAGCTGGATCGGCGTTGCACACTCTGGGGGGTTATGTACTCTTGACGGAATGTTAGTCCTCGCTCAGTTTTTGAAAACATACTCTTGTAATAGTACTTCGAATAACCCAGAGCATTCGTTTATGCATCATGTGTTCATCTCCTACGGACTTCAGCAATGTCAGAGTGTGCAGAACGAGAGAGAGAGACAGAGATACAGACCAAGACACAAACGACCCTCAAATCAATCTTCAGAATTAGACAGCTACATGCAGGTCATTTTGGTGTGTTGTAACCAACTTGTATGTCGGTGCTATTGTGGTTCCATCAAACCTGGAGAGCCTGCCTTCATTTGATTGACCCATGTCGTGCGTGAACTTGTGTGGTGTGCTTCTAACTGTACAGGAGACCCTGTCTGACCTCGACAGGAATAAGGATGGATTTCTGACTTTGGAGGAATACATTGGTATGTTACATGGCCATGGTATTGTTACTGGTGCAAGTTGTGCATGCACATGTATGCCTGTGTCCGTGTGTGTGTGTCTGTCTGTGTGGTTGTCTCGCATGGTGCAGTGGTATGTGTACATGTGTACTAGTACTCCATGAAAAGGAAAACAACGAAAAGAAAACTAGAAAGTTGGGCTTCACTGGCCAGAAAAACACTTGAAGCTGTGTGGTACAGGTTGACGTCAATTCTTCATCCTTGCAAGCTGTTGAATGGTTCAATCTTAGCACAGGTGGCTGTGTTCTGTGTGTCTGTGTTTGTGTGCCTGTGTGTGTGTGGGGGGGGGGGGGGGGGGGGGTCTGGTTACTCCAGCAAGTGCAAGGTTTGAGAGGGTGTGTGTGCATGTGCGCGTGGGTGCTACAAGGATCTTCTGTCTGTCAGACTCTATTATTGTATCTATCTCTTTCCCGTGCACTCGTACGGGTTCACCTTTTCACTTTTCAGACATCTCATTTTCTCTTCACGTATTTGTGTCTCTCCCGCATTAGGCGAGGTTCACAAGGAGGAGGATGGCTCGGAACCTGAATGGGTGCAGGGTGAGCGTGAGCAATTCAATGAGCACCGCGACCTCAACAAGGATGGAAAAATGGATAAGGTAAGAGGAGCAGAAGCTGGCATGTTGCTACCTGGGGCTCTGGAGCTCAGCTTTTTGCCGCATTCCTTGTATTTTAAGTGCCCCTGTAAGAAGACTAGGCCGTGTTAAATTTAACCGCTAGCCTCTCTCGAGATCTCCCTCATTGGCTCGCTCATTTTTTACTCACACGTTTCTACTTTCTCGCCATGTCTCACAGTCGTATCTGACTTTAACATGCCGTTGTTTGTGGAACAGGATGAAGTGGCTAAGTGGATCCTGCCCCATGAGGACGGACATGCAGATGAGGAGGCAGCTCACTTGATGACATCGGCAGACACAAACAAGGTGAGAGCTAGTTGATGCGTTTTTTTCTTCCAATACTTATGTTCTTTCTTCTTTTCTTCTTTTGCCGTGGCTGGCTAACGCCCCTTCCTTTGTATTGGCTTTTGCCATTGGACGGTGAAGTAAAATTAATAAAATAATTACAAGCCATATCAGCCAAATACCGTAAAATCCCGCCAGAGCGCCCCGTCTCTCCCATCCGCCCCTCCCTGACTTCTTGTCAGGGACGTGATTTATTGTATCCTCGTATGACTCTGTCGCAGTCTGTGATGCCGTACTGTACTGCAGACGCGTGCTCCACCCCGTTGGAAATGTATGCAACAGTGCCCACCCTCTTGACCAGGGATCGCACAAACCCTGCGTTTTGTTGGGTCTGTACGACTCCTGGCTCTTGACCTTTGGTCGGTGTACGAGATGCACGAACAGTTTTCGTAGGGTGAGTACTTTTTCATGTAGCACTGAATGCGGCAAGTAGGACTCGCCCATCCGCCCCTCCCCACCTGAAGCGTCGAGGAGGTAGGGGCGCTCTGGCGGGATTTTACGGTAGTTGCAAAATGACTTCCTTTGAAAAACTTTGTGGCTTTTTTATTCACTTTCTATGGAGTTACTGTGCTCAAGAAATTTGATTTAGTGAAACGAAAACACTTCCAAGCCTGGGTGGATATACGTTTTTGAAGTATGTACACTATCACTTTGAAGTGGAAAAGAAATTGGCACCCTTGGAGTCTCACTCGGAGGCACCATCACTTGTTTCCTCAGAGCTCAATTCACCAAATCCTAAAAGATATATAGGATTTTTTGAAAAATTTCCAATAATCATGACCATGCTTCCACCCGGGATAAGCTGTGTGCCTAAATTGTATTGTACGGTGTTAGGGCAGGATCAGTAGGTTCTCTTCAGAAGTTTTCAAGAGTGCCAGTATTATCACTGCTGGACTTATAGGGCTGTTTTAGAGAGGACATGTCAGTTTTTTGTCGGATCCTATGTTATAATATAGGATTTGAGTGTTCTGCATTATCCAGAGTGTTGTAATGGACGCAGATGATGATAGAATGCTTAGTATGCTGAATAAGTACATAATATATACCATGAATAGATGTTTGTGATTGATTGGGGAGCACTTGCCCAGGTTGGCATATCTAGTACTTTTAACTGTACTACAGCGGAAGTTTCACCCCGAAAATTGGCCGATCGGCTTGAAATTTGGATTATTCCTACGAAAGTGTATGGAAAACAGGTCCACACACCTCATGAAACCCATTTCATCAATTTGCATAGGTAGTTTAGCCAAATCCTTTAGCCAGAAACCAAATCCTATTATATAGGATTTGCTGGTGAGATGGAAAATAAAAAGGACCCAGGAACTACAAGCTATGCTAAAATGTCCAAGAACACCACCAGCTACTAAGCAATCAGCTCATGCGATAACATTGCGCGACATTGACCGACGGTACTGACGTTCTGCAACTAACTGGCTATCAGCTCTAGCACATCTTGGATGCGCACTCCAACAGCCTTCCAGCTTTGATGGTTCTAAGTTGTTATGATAACATAGGAGGGGGAGGTGAGCGCAACCAAGACAAGCACGAGCTGAAAGTCTTCCCCTCCTATGTTATCATAATAACTTAGAACCTTCCAAGTTGTAAGGCTGTAGGAGTGCACATCCAAGATGTGCTAGAGCTGATAGCCAGTTCGTTGTAGAATGTCAGTACTGGCGGTTAGTGTCGTGCAATGTTATCGCATCAGCTGATTGTTTAGTAGCTGGTGGTGTTCGTGGACATTTTAGTGTAGCTTGTAGTTCCTTGGTCCTTTTCTTTTCTATAAATGTCCCCTTGGCTCTCCATCCGAGTCCATTCTTGCACACCTGATGAGCCGTCCTTATCTATACGGTGAAATGATCGTCGTGTGAAACTGTTGCTTGTTACCACTGCTTATTGCTCATCTAAATAGTCGAAGAACAGTGCTGTTTTACTGAGGCGTTCGGTTTTGCATATTTCTTGTTCGCATAGCTTCCCCTTTAATTGATCTTTTCATCTTTGAGCCACACAAGTTGTGTGGAATGTTGTGTACCGTACAGTGTATTTACGTTCGCCGTGTTTGTGTTTCGCCTTCAGGACGAGGAGCTGACCATCGACGAGATTGTCGACAACCACGACGTGTTTGTCGGAAGTCAAGCCACCAACTACGGTAGTCTTCTTCACGAAGAGCTCTAACTGCCGCGCTGCCAGCAATGAAATGCGCGCTGGTGTGCATTTGTGTTCTTCTGCGGCTTCATATAACCTACGGCGCTGTATGTTCTGCTGTGCGGTTCTTTGCCGCCTTCATTTTACTTTTATTCCCTACCTGCATCCTTCCCCTTTTGAACAAATTCTATTGGAAATATGTTTTGACTTATGCTTTGGTACTAGCACCGTGCTAGGTTGCGGTTTCCTGCATTCAAAGGGTTCAATTTGCACTAGTACTGAAATCACCGAACGACCGCGACGTGCGGCATGTGCTTGTGACATGCACTCGTGCCGCATTGTTGGACTCTATGCGGCACCCTTTGCGCTGTATTGTGCAGCTGGTTTGTGTGTATGCCACCAGGCTGCAGGGACTATTCCCTGTATGCCGGCCCACTGTCCTGTCCGCGGGGGAAATTGCGATTCCAAGGGTGCAAATGTCACCGCGATTTTGAAGACCGTGGTGGGTCTGATCTACTCACCTCCCACCTTTTAGGAGCTGCATCTGCGCCTTTGATCCTAAACCGTGATTTCTCCAAAGTGTCCCCCCGTTTTTAAGTTCTTGTTGCATGGAAACATCAAAAGGCTGTCCTTGCATCATGATCGAGGTCTTGGCACTCCCGAGTCTGTGCATCTGAGTAGCAGCCCCATCCCTTGAGGACTGAAATGCATGTTTTGTGATGTAATCATTCCATTTTCTCAACCCTCTTTTTCATGAAGAAATAGGCAGTTTTCTGCCAGGCAAAGCATTAGATTGGCCATTGCACTTGCAAATTCACCAAAAAAACTGTCACGAACTCCGCACAAAATTTAATAATTGTACCGCGAATTTTGTGCTTTTCTTCCGTCATTTCCCCACAGACGGTCGAAAGCAAGGTGACCCCACAGATGTCCAGAGTATACCACTAAAATTAATGACAAATGCCACAATTCAGTTTCCTCTGAGACAAAAATGCCATAATACTCATAATATTATAATCACTTCAGGCTCTTTACAAACATCAATGAGAAGGCTTGAAAGTATACTTGTGAAACCAAAAGGTGTTCGTAAAGAGCCTGAAGTGTGTCCTTTTTATGAGTATTGCCACAATTCACCTACGAATAAGACGTTGCGAGGCTACAGGACTAGTCGACTGTGTTGTTCACTTGAATTGTTCATAATGCATGGTGCATGCATGGCAGTACTACCAGTAGATTACAAGTACTACGGTAAGTACTCAACTAAGTATGTCCACCAGGGAGTACAAACTGAAACACCTTTTAGCACCCCTGGTGTCCATGCACATGGTCTCTAAACCGCCCACTGATATTCGCCTCATAATGTATTTTGTGATCACTCAGAACCAGCGAGTTTACGATGGCAAGTGTTCGCAGAGCACTGTGGCCACGCATGAACACCCGAAGTTTGTTTTCACAATGATTAATTTATGTTCTTCTCGCAAAATTAGCAAACATACGCCGCAACCTTAGGCAGTTTACAGTAGAGAGAACTTGATTCAAACTCACCCATCACCGCACAAGCATGCACACACACACACACACACACACACAAACCCACACACACACACACAACGCATCTTACACCGACACGCTGGCGCCAAAGATCAAAGTTTAGCGACTCTGCCGAGGGCAAGGCGAAAAAAAATCACTGCCACAAGAACCCGCTAGGTGGGGCATACACAAGCAAAGTAGAGCAAAGCAACACACGGCACGTAGAAAAGAGTGAGTCTGAGATAAGATAAGAGCACAGCTAGCTGAGCCTACGAGGTGAGAGAATACAAACAAGGCAACACGCGGGACACTAGACATTAATTTTGCTCGGCAACCTAGAAAAAGCACAAACAACAGCAACACGATAGTAACAGGCAGGAAGAAAAAAACTCGTTTCCAACACTGTAGGAAGCGTATGGACATGTACCTTAGCACACAGCTAAAGCTAACAAACAACATTATGGTCATCATCATCGTCATCACGGATAAAACACTCGAAACAAAAACAAAAACCCAGAGCAGTGCTCCTGAAGAATGCAGCGATTTCCACAGACAGGTTCATCAGTGGTTGCAACAAACGCAGGGCCCTGTGGCTGACCAGGTGAGCGAGCAGGCGAGCCAAGCAAACAGCGGGTACATGGTAGCAATGCATGGCAGAGTCGGAAACGGGTACAGCACCAGAAGAGGATAACAGCCGATATGACAGGGAACGACGAGTGTGCTTCTCAGCGTTTACCGTGACTAAAGCTATGTAATAAAACACACAAGTAGTGTAAACGTGACACCGTCACACAGAGTGCCAGGAAAGTCACGGGCAGCAGAGGCAGTGAAAGCGCACACAAAGCCATTGAAGCAAGGACTACGCTACCGGGTTAGAGAGCAGCCAGGGTCAGCAACAGCGTGGGTAGGGAGCAAAAAGCACAGAGCCAATAGCAGGGACACATGCACGGCCTACACGGCTACAGACAGGACGTCAACACTTCCCTGACGTCAGGAGCCCGGCAAACTCAGAGCAATGCCGGGAAAACTACTAAGAAGAAGCGCATGCACGTGAGAAGGGCTAACTTCGGACGACTACCACTGGCGACAGTAATGAATGCAGGACACCCAGGATGAAACGTAGACTAGTTCACACACGCTCGGTAACGCACAGCCCGTTCACATGCCCAAGGCAAGAGCCAGCAAGTCTGATCTAACTAAGTCTCTGTTGTGGACTCGATGACGACGTTCAGCGGTACAGTCTCGGTGATAAGCGAGTCCACAGATGTCACATAGTTGTTGATGATGGCGTCATTAGACGCTGCCGTTGTCGCCGCTGTTGTGGTTGTTGTCACTGAAAGCTCTTCGGCAGTTCTGGTGAGCACAAGGAAGGGCACAGGACAAGCAGGACTGTCAACATCCCGGCAGGAATGAAATACACAACAAGCTTCTGTGGAAGCAGCACGCAGAACTAGCGCGGAGTCGGGTAGCATTTTCTTCGGGCATCGGGGGTAGTTTTCCACGGGTACCCGATCGGGTAATGTTTCCATGGCACCACCACAATGCACCCCTTCCCTTACACACTGGGTAGACATGCAGAGATGACATGAATAATTTGTACAGGTGCACTAGCTGTACATGTCATATGATGTTAACCGCGACTTCGGGTTTTCGGGTGCTATTCTGTACCTGACTATTCGAGGTCCTCACGGGTACCCGACTACCCGTGCACACCCCTAAGCAGAACAGATCCCATAACAGCCATACTCACTCCACCCGTAACACCAAGAGTACATAACCTCCCAGAGTGTGCAACGCCTGATCCAGCTCTGCATAGGGTCTTGGTCGAGTGTAATCGAATCTTTGCGCCATAATACCGTACACATCTGAGGGGAACCCGGGGAGTCGCGGGTACTCTCAGATCAAAAACAACGGTGCCCTGCCTCGAGACCGGCCTTGCGCTGGTGTGAAGTGTACGCATGACATCAGAAGATCCAACTACGCTCGGCCAAGACCCTATGCAGAGCTGGATCAGGCATTGCACGCTCTGGGGGGGGGGGGGGGGGTATGTACTCTTGGCAACACCCATACCCACCCCATCCACAACACCCATACCCACCCCATCCACAACACCCACCCACCACTTTCCACTTGCAAGCAACAAATAGCTTACTGTTCAGTTTTCGTAACCGGCAAGAAAACGACACGCTCCAGCTCTTTGACCACAGCTCGAAGTTGTTCAGGCGAGTAGAGTTTCGGGCGTTGCAATGCAACACCATCTGGCAGACCATAGACCACAATGTTCTCGAGTGCATGAGAATCCTCATAAGGAATGGTCTTCACACCCGTCGCTGCCTCTGCACAAACAACAGAACAACAGAACAAGGGCAGTTGACACAGTTGAGGTTGAGATCAGAAAGCGGTGTTAACAACACTGGAATGATGCCCAGCAAGCTGGGTGGCAATTAGAATGCAAAAACAACACAACCGCTACAGAGCAATGTCCGTCACCAGCCGCACGTACCATACTTTGCGTTAAAAGTGTTGCGAATCAGCATCACCATATGATCGACACTCAGGTCGGATACATCCGGATTGGCTTCCACTTCCTGAGATCCAACCGTAATCTACAATGCAGAAGAATGAAAGCATTAGAAAACAGAGCGCATGCAATGGACCAGCTTCGACACACACATTAGCAACCAGGAGCATGTCATCAAGAGACAATAACTGCCAGGGTGTGCGACTGTAGTGTAGAGGGGTGGCGAAGGTATAGTGTGACTGTAGTGTAGAGGGATGGCAAAGGTATAGTGTGACTGTAGTGTAGAGGGGTGGCAAAGGTGTGTAAGAGTTGAAAGCGTGAGGAGTCCAAAGTTACACGATTAGCAATGTTTTTCCACTTGGCGCGCACAAAGCTTAACGACCTCTCAGCTCGGCCCAGACCCTGTGCAAGGCGCCAGGAGCGGTGGTGATACGCCCGTTATTGGTGGCCACTCACCTCACTCGTTGGAGGCTCCATTGGGCCAGGTTGAACGTCACCAATCGCTGCAGTGACTGTTGTGCCACTGGCGGCAGCAGCAGCACTTGCTAGGGAAGCCATAGAGGCAACGGCATCCAGGTTGAGAGCAGGAATGGCCATCAAGGGATTGCCTAGTCCAGCCGCACCAGGAACAAGGTTCTTTCTCGGACCTGGGCAACAAGGAAAGATGTGTCAGACCACAATGAACTCTGAGAACAGAAACGGGATAAGTCGTAGAAATATCAAAGTCTGCATACTTCAGAAGTACATTTTTGTTGTTGTTGGATGGATCGTAATTTTAGTTCCATTCATTTTTAATCATCACACTCTTCGGCTCCGGCCATTTTGCTTTCCTCGACCGCAGATCAGATTCGTCACTGTGCAATCCTCGAGTCAGTCACACAAGTGCGACCGTGGGCACAATTGAGTAAAAGGTCTGGAAATGGTCACAACTCAAGTCACACACAGTACCCTGAAAAGGAGCGCCAGATTGTTTTTGCTCCCACCCGTAAATTTCATCTCCCACTTGGATAGCTATAAGCCACAAGGAGACAATACTAACGCTATGAATAAGATGAGGTGTGCAGTCATAACTGGTACACACATAAACACACACAATGAAAAGGGACATTTTGGTATCCAAAAACACGTCTTAAAATTAGATTGTCAAATCTGAGCTGGTTTTGACCGAGTCGGGATCTGTTGATGTTTCCCATTTGAACTCTACCAGGGTGGCATGCCGAGAGTAGAGAGGTCCAGCAAGTTGTAAACCGAGTTCATCATCAGTGGGCTGGCTTGTTACCACACCTTACAGTCAGGCCTGCTTGCTGAGGGATTCCCGAGTGTACAGAGAGTTCAGATCTAATCACACTCGAGACTCTAGACTTTTGCCACACTTTCTCCCCCCCCCCCCCCCCCCCCCCCCCCAAGGGGCCACAACCTAGTAGTTAAGACGTAGACACATGCACGTGCTGCTGCTAAACTTACGTCCACGCTTGGCTATATGGCCAGTGTCGAGGCGGTGGGCCCTCAGGAAATGCGGACTAGTGGCCACGTATGGGCAAATGTAACCATCAGCAGTCTGATAGCGGCAGGCATTGCCAGTTGGTGACACCACTGATGGTCCCAATGAGGAGGCTAATGATAAGGGCAGTGTGGAGGGAACAGCAGTACCAGTACCAGCAGGGTTAAAAGCCATATCTAGAGCACAGGGCACTAAGCCTAATGCAGCTGCATCGGCAACGCTTTCTGCCGACTCGATAGCTGCCAGCAATAACAACAACAAACAGGACGGGAGGAGGAGGGAAAGGAGGAGACGGGCAGGAGGACATGGAGGGGGAGGAGAGGAAGGGAGGTGAAGGGATAACACAAACGCAATACATTGATTAAAAATCCGACACGGGAACAAAGCAGTCAAGAACATTGATATCAATGTGCGCCAAAATCTACAGACAAATCCTCCAGTTAAAGGTCATGTCATCCCCAACCCAAGGCCTGCGGTCTTAATCCCCTAGAGAACGGTTCTGACTGTTACGACTTATGACCGTATTCCCAGACTGGTCAGTGTGCAAGGGGTACCATTGGCAGTAGCTCACTAAAGACGTTCCATCATATTGTTGCAGTTTCTCATAGAAAACCTACTGATGACCGTAATCCCACTGGATACAGGATACACATGCTGGACGCATACTTCTATCTGTAAGTTTACAAACCACCATAGCAATCTCAATCAAGTTCAAGTAAATGTAAAAGAGGCATAGAGAAGGCAGGATACAAATATTAATACGAATATAATTCTCGGATGTCGTGACTTATTGGTTCTTTGTCTTTACTCAATACAATTCTGTGCATGTTCTAGAAGCACAGCGGCAGGCAGCAGTGCAGCTGTTCGGGGCGACAGATGGGAGGCCACTCACCAGTTGAAGCCTCGGCGCTGGTGACGGGTGTAGCACTGCCAGCGCCAGGGGTGGGTTGCTGGGACAGAGCAGTGCTCAGCACAAAGCGAGAGAACGCCGTGTACACCGACAGCGCTTCTGGGCCACTCTGCACACCAGAATGTAATCAAACGTAATAATAAACGTCATGCACTTGGTAAAAAATTCTTCAGACTTTTCCCTTTTGCACTCCCCCAACCAGTGAATATTCAATGCACTTGTTCTTGCACAGCTGAGTACATTCGACTTGGTCGCTCTCGTCACAGTACCGGAACAGGACACATGACCAAAGCACAACTATACGTCATGCAAACGGAATGCCAAGCCCATCGGCCATGGTAGTGCACATATCGGCCAGTACATAAAAGCCAGAGAGAGCCAGCGCCCGTGCATGCCATCCACCATCCGTTTCCATTTCAAATCAGAGGAATAGCGGCATTATCTTTCCATAAAGTCTAGCTATGAGGGAGCCTGGACAAACCTGATCTTGGGATGCTTGCTCGGCTGTATCCATCGGTGTTTCACCGGACTGGATGGTCCCCGATGCCTGTGCGTTGCTCACCTAACCAGCCGAACGTACCCAAAACATCACACGCACACATTACCCACATATCTGTAAAGGGCATATAAAAGATTTCCGAAGGAGGAATGCAGATCCGCAAAACAGTACAGCTGCGGCAAAGAGCTTCAGTTCAATCATGCGAGATGTAGAATCGTGAAAATATTTCCACAACGTCCTGAGTGGCCATCAAAAGTATGAACATTCGCAAGAAAAAGGATTTTCTTCGCCACGTCTCTCGAAATCCGAACAAACGTTATATTGCATAACGTGTGGATCCAACTCAATTCTGGCCAGAAATGAGGTCCGTCTCGAAGCCCTCAGAGTCATTTTTGATCTGATCGGATTGAACACAGTGATACATTATTTTTCCAAAGAACACATGACTCGGAACTTCATGTGGTGATTGCGTGTGTGTGTGGGGGGGTGGGGGGGTGGGGGGGGGGGGGCGTAGGCGCAAGCCGCAATGGTGCCAGATAGGCTAAGGTACAGACTTACAGATCCTTCCTCGGTAGACGATGCACCAGCTGAATCAGATGATTCTGTCGTAGAGCCTGGCACAGCGGAGCAAACACAAACGGCAACACTGACGTGCTATCCCCTATATCATTTTGGCTCATCACAATGGCATTCTTTTCAGGGATGATAGAACTATAATTAGGGTTGCTACAATTCTCGATGTGCAAATCAATCTGTGAGAAAACTAGAGGTATGCCTGCATTGGAGACGGTCTCCCTATTTATTCTAGTGCATGCATGCAGTGTGCTTTATATGAAACGTGACTTTAGTAGAGACTGTCCTGAAGGTAAAGAATCTGCGGAAAGCAGAAAAGGGTGACATTCGAACAGATGTGCCATTAGTTCACACAAATGTGGAACCTGCCCTCAATGTACAGCAAACAAATCTGTCTTCAGCAGCTTTCTCATTGTCAGTAGAAGCCGGTTTTCCAGACCAGACGCGATCACAAGCATGCTCAAATGCAAGCTGAAACACAACACTGTTCCTGTGCTTTAATACCTGTTGCAGTGTCATCCGAGGGGGGCTGTTGGTGGGTCTGCTGCTGCTGGTGGAACTGCTGGCCGAGTGCAGACGCTAAAGTGTGCGTCTTCATCTGGATGGGATCTACCAAGAGACAATAGCTGTGTACTCCCACCTGATCGAGCCTTTCCAACTGGATACCGCAAAAGAACATCATAACAAAAGGGACAAGGACCCAATAAGAGCACAAACAATCACCAGCTCTGTGGGCCACAAGCAGTCCACAATCCAGCCCTGCTGAAACAGTACAGTCATATAGCGCTACAGCAGCAACACTTGCCAGCATGCTTAACCCTTTGCATGCTGGCCTGTTTTCCACAGTAATCTGGCACTCCAGAGTACGGACTCTCCTGGTGGAGTTTGGGTGCACTGCTCGGAACCAAATTTATTCTCATTTCAGTTCACCTGGATGGAATTTCCTCATCCTGGGCTTGTTGGAAAGATCAGGACCAAGCGAATCCATCCTGGAAGCTCTCAGCTCCACCAGGGCCACTTCCATGACCTCTCCAAACTGGCCCACCATGCCTCGGAACGAAACAACAACTCAGTCACAATTCTTTATCGGCTCCTTGCTCAAATTCAACCGATTTTCACGATTCAAACTGCTCTGCAAAGCTGAGATCAACGCGCTTCATTTGATGTCCATAACGAATGCGCAGGGCAAAAGGGAAATCCCCTGGCACGCTCCAAAAAACTGCGAAGTCACGAACAAAAAAATTCGCAATCACTCCAGCCTCCAGCCCGTGATTTCCGTGTTCATTTTGTCGCAGCTCAGTGAATCTTTATCCTATCGCGAAGAACTTTATATCTCTGGAAAGCTGAGCTCAATACCTTTCCAACGGTGTATCGTATGTGGAGATCGGATACCCTTTCACAGAGTAACGGAACTTTGTACACTGGTCTATTCACCACGTACACGACGCAACCGAAGCGCATGTATACACGTCCTCAGAGAACTGGCATGGGGTTCAGGCGCGTGTATACACGTCATCCGCACGCAAAGGTTAACAACTCAATGCCAGTGATAGACAAGACTTACGCATGACTGCAGAAGACTGACGGCGTAGGACACAATGCGATCCCGACCTTCCACGGTCGTCGGAGGAGTCGCAGTCGGTGATGTGGCCGTGGCGGTGGCCGGCGCTGTAGCAACGGCAGGAGAAGCCGGTGCAGCTGCACCCCGTTGCTGTGATTCGTATAGCCGAGCCCGCTGGTGCCAATCCACACGCTCCTCGTCGGACATGTTGCGCCATCGGGCAGCTATATCTGTTTTATGTTCTGCTAAAGCAGCACAGCACACGTATACATGACAACAAGAAGGTGTCAATGTTAGAAATATATACCCTGCTGGTGCTAGTATGCAAAGGCACATTTTTGGTGCAAGAATGCACCAATGTGCACAGCTTTTCTCTGTCTGTCACACACACACACACACACACACTGTGTAGGTAAGAAAAAGGAGAAGCGTACTTTGCCAAATTATGGTTGAAAAGCTATCGGCGTCTATTCGTGTACCCGACGCACAATGAACTGTGCATTTAGTCCATGTACTCGTGCATTGTGTCCAACAACAAACAAGGAAAGACAAACAGAACAAGTTAGTAAGTTAGTCATGTATCAAGACACGGCACGTGCCATTGTAGACACGCATACTTAGACCGCTAACCGAGGACCTCATTGTGACGGCATTGAAGTTGCTCAGCCATCAAGGTCCAATATCTAGTGCTTACCTAATGATGGTTCAGGACTGTCCTTCAATGTCTCTGCCAAAAATAAACTGTAGCCGGAAAGTGAGCGTTTTCGCTTCGCAGGTGGAGCACCAACTGGAGTCTGAAAAAGTGGAATAAAGCAAAATAACAGTAACCAGTCGATTCTAGGAACTCTCCTGTGACTTGCACACAGATCTGGGCATGTGAACGCACGGCAGGGATAAGCTGTTCGTAAACTTGATCAACACATGGAACATGCCATGCTGCTACTAAGCACGGGGCCAATTGCTAACAGCAGAGAGCATTGCGCTCTACTCTCATAGCTCAACATTATCAATACGAAAATAGGAAAGCATGCACCGAATGCAACAAGGATAAAGACAACTATTTATAACGGAGCCTTACCGATCCTGCACTGCCAGGCTTTCCACCAGCTACAGCCAAAGCTTGCCGCTTGCGCCGCACAGTCTCTGCACCAATCCAGTTCTGCAATCCCCCCCCCCCCCCACACACACACACACGCACGCACGCACACACACACACACACACACACACACACACACACACACACACACCAACCCATTAATCAAAGGCGTAACATCAACTAGCAAACAGAGTGCTGAATGCAAAGGCAGCATTGTTGACAGAACTGCAACTACAGTACTATTGGGTGCCGAAGAACGGAGTGCCGAAGATGGACCAGGCTAGAATTTTACCAAGTACAGCATACTAATGTATACACGGCGAATCAACTGGGCATAGACTGTAACACATGAAAATAAGAACGGTCTAGGCTAAGAGGCTCCCCAGTTCTTCGGCGACCGACATTACTGTACTGCAATATGTACATCGAACTTGCTGCGGAACAGAAAGCGGCAGTTTGGAACAGAGAAAAATCGACGGGAGCACTATCAATATGATCACACTTTACTGCTTGCACATTACAACTCTTTCCAGAAAAGGCTCCTCAAAAATGTTTCTTTGCTGACAAGTAGACGATCAACTGGCACTAGTGACAATGTCTTCGATGACGAATGATCCTAACCTTGACTTTGTCAGCAGAGACGCCGACCTCTTGTGCTGCATCATCGACTAGTTCCTTATTGCGTCGATGTGTAGAGTTCATGCCATTGTCATAGAATCGCTCAAGGATGGCCGACTGCTCTCGGTCAAATACACGACCTGCAGATTGTTAACATCAACAGAGGGAGAAAATCAAGGCTGGGTAAGACATAATAATATTATAACTATTATATGTCAGCGGTCCAGATTCAGAGCAACAGAACTGCAACTACGGTCTGCCGGATTTTCAGGGATAATAAATTCACCACACTCCTTTTGGGAGGCAACACATCGCTTTCAAATTTGCAACCACGTGTATCACAAACAACAGTTTACAGTCAATAGAGCCGGAGTAGGATAATTTGGGGGAGAGGACCAACTGCACTTGCGGCAAGTGAAACCCAGATCCGGATGTATATTTTTAACGCCACAATCCGATTTTGATCGCTTCATGTACACGTGAGAGGTGCATGCACTTTGGGCGTTGCCGTGAGTGCACGTCGGTCCGAGTTTCACTTGCAAAACTGTAGTTAGTCCTTTATCTAGAGGGTTTGGTGGGGCATACGGCAGGCTGTGAAAGGCGGAGAACACACTGCACAGAATCTACTATGGGTAAGTAAAGCCTCAGATCACAAACAACAGTTTACAGTCAATAGAGCCGGAGTAGGATAATTTGGGGGAGAGGACCAACTGCACTTGCGGCAAGTGAAACCCAGATCCGGATGTATATTTTTAACGCCACAATCCGATTTTGATCGCTTCATGTACACGTGAGAGGTGCATGCACTTTGGGCGTTGCCGTGAGTGCACGTCGGTCCGAGTTTCACTTGCAAAACTGTAGTTAGTCCTTTATCTAGAGGGTTTGGTGGGGCATACGGCAGGCTGTGAAAGGCGGAGAACACACTGCACAGAATCTACTATGGGTAAGTAAAGCCTCAGTCTATGCAACCATATGAACTGTCGGGATAGTGTCGAGAAGGAAAGCATATATTTATTCGCCGTGCCTAGCGTTATTATTTGCCTGCACAGAAATTCCCAATATTTCAAGATGCCCTACAAAGCGAGGTTATAATACTAAGTACTTCAAAGCACAAAGCTGACCTATTCCTATCAACTTTTCAGAGTGTGCAGATAAAGGAGATAAACCAATATTGAAAAGATATTCCAAAATCAGTATAACTGTTGGAACAAACTTTTAGATCCGTTCATGGATGCGTACCCCATATTCAAGAACGTTTTACTCCACTGAAACAAATATCACACGTTCACTGCCTGAGAACCTGGTGAAGAATTGAAAGAGCCAGGTAAATTCAAGCTCCACCAAGTTGATTCGATCTCGTACAAAAGATTCCTTTGCCTGGAGTACAAAAGATCCTTTCCGAAGGATTTTCGCGCAAGGCGACATGGTGCAAATTGGAACCTCACGCCGATCAAGGTTTCGCGTTTTATTTCGCATATCTACACAACGTCGACAGTCAATTAGTTGAGAGCTCGTCAAGAGAAAAGAGAGTCGGCTTGAACAGCGAAGTGAGACTAAAGAATACTCAAATAATTTTTCGATTTGCAAGAGGACGACGCCCGCCAATATCGGCAACAACAATGACACGCCGAGGAGTCTCAGCGGACTAAATTTGAATATAGAAGCGGCGGACGACAGGAAATATTATGAACGAAAGAGAACTAAAAAAAAGCACAAGTTCTAAATCAATAATATTCTGGCATTTTGCATCTTACTTTTAGCACTCATGGCCGATTTCAAGGCCGCGCGCAGCACGCCAGAGCAACCGCAACCCTCCAAACCAAACAAGCTAAACTGCTGCCGAGGCCGCTTTCCAGCAGACAGATGTACTCAATGTGTCATGAGTTGGAATGAGCACAAGAACGAACTCCTATCGGAGCGCCGAAAGAAACTGGTGAATTCTCCGAGGTAAATACACAAAAAAAAACTCTGATACCGAATATCAAAACGAATTTTCCTTACGCTTCATCGGATTATCACCATACGGGTCCGCTGCTTGGGAGTTCTGCCGAGAAGCAGAAGGAGAACTTGCAGATCCACTGCCATCGCCCTCTGCGCTCTCTCCCGCGAGATCATCTCCATTGTGAACCTCGTAGACCCCGGCTAACTCAGTGGCTTCGCCTTCTGCATCGAAAACGCCACCAGCTGCAGTCACAACATTGCTCACACAGCTTTCTACATCCATTTCGTAAAAATTCCTTCCCTGAAAATGATTCCCTGAGTTTTTTGTTGAGCAGACACGCAAATGCTTTCTTTCCGAGCGCAAAATCTTGCCTTCATTCTCGGTTGCCTTTTTGCACACTTTTTGCAGCTTTTGTGTAGGAGCTTCGAAGGTCGATCATTGCGCCTTGCACAATCCTTCGCGCATGCTCAAACTTGCACCTCTTCCAAAAAAAGTGACCAGTGCGCGCGCGCGCGACCAGGTCCGCTTCAACTGAACTGAGCTGCTACTACGAGTCCAGTGACTGTACTAGTGCTAGCATGCTATGCCTATGCCTATGCCTACGGCTATGGACTCGCCTTCTTCTGCCGTTCTTGCCTTCGCAGCAGTGCAGAGCTACATTAAAGGGGAAGTTCACCCTAAAATCAAATTTTCACAGTTTGTAGATTTCGAGGCGCTGATTTCGGTGGTGAAGGTCCCATCGCCGTGCGATACGCCGTTCTGGAGATATTTGAATTTGAAATTTACCATGACGTCATGCAAAATGACGTCATGCGGCCGGGGCACACCCCCTCCACACCCTGTGACGTCAAAGAGATACAGGTTCCCGGTCTGCTTGCTTTTCAGTGAGCGAGAAAGAGTGGCGTTTGTGGAGTTTCTTTCTTGCGACCTGAACAATTTCAACCACGATGACGGTTTGCTGTGCTGTCGGCTGCTCTAACCTGTCTGGTAAGCCCCTGGGACCACGGTGCATCGTATTCCGCGGGATAAAGCTCTCCGAGCGGAATGGGTTGCAGCGATTCACCGCGAGAATTTGCCACCTTGTAAGTTTGAGGAGAGCTGTGCAATTTGTTCGGCACATTTTGAGGAGATGCCTTCCAGAGGAACTTGCACGGAGAGATGGGCAAAACGTGCCGCCGAAAGCTGAAAGCAGACGCTGTGCCATCGATTTTCCCGGACAGGTGTCCCCCAGCGAAGCGAAGGATGTCGCAGTATCAGGAGAGGCAGAAGAGAGAAGAGGTGAGTGAATGGTTCTGGTGATTTCGTGCTTTGAGAGCGTGTTGAAATTTTGTCTGTACATCGCGAGTTGGAGAGGGCAGTTTCATCCCCTGTGTTGAGTACATCGTATACTTGTAGAGAAAATTATTTACAGATACCGGTACAAAGCTGTTTGCAGTGTGTTGATTGCAAGGTACTAGTATTGAATGAAGACAGAAGATCGTGCAATATATTTTTGTTTTATTTCAATTCAAGTTTTACATGTCGTGAAAAGGCATACAGTGGTCACTAGCTCTGTCCTCTGCTTGGTAAGTTTCAATTCCAAGAAAGTCTTTATTGTGTTGCATTGTCACTGTTATCTGCTTGTATTTTGCGAGTATGATCCTAGCTCAAGCCTATGCTGAGCCGTATGCCGCAGCTTTTCGGTCTCCAGTTGCATGCGCATTGAGTCCAGACGATGGCATGATATCTGCTGATGCGTGCACACAGACCCCCGTCAGCACACGGGAAATTTAGAGGTGATGTTATGGTACCCACTGTGTAGATCAAATCCACACGTACATATGCTTGCAACACTGGCAGTACATTCTCATGACTATTCTTTTGCTATAAACACACACACGCGCGCGCGCACACACACACACACACACCTTTGACGCCAATCGCCGGAGGCAATGATGGCAATGCTACGGCAGAAGCCATAGCAACTTGTGCTGGAATTGCACCATTCAACAGCTTGCAAGGCTGAAGAATTGACCGTCACAATTCAGCCTGGTCTACACCATACAGCTACACACACACACACACGTGCAAGCACCTGGCTGACTACAAATAGTGACAGCTTATGATTGCTTTGCCGTTTGTCCATTATGCAGGTGTTCCACAGGACTCCTCGGCCAAGTTTTCCGAACATCAGCCATATGTATTGTCGGTATGCTGCGTAACGGTGCGAGCTGCTTTGGGGAACAGGGGAGTAGATCTTCCTGCTGTTAGTCTCACATGTCAACGTACATTTCAGTGCAACAGCAGCACACTACAACAACAAATTTCTGAAGAAGTATACAAGCCAATATCCTGGTTATATTTTTGCACCATGGAACAGTATTTAATTTTGATGAGAAAATACAGTTCTCCGATGCAAAATCGACGACAGTATTACACTATTAGCACGTACCGGTTTCCAAACTCAGATGGCTTCGATCCGGCCTGCTGATGGATCTTGCCCAAATAGCCACGCAGTACAATGTACAGTGCGTGCTGGTTGCTGCAGCCTTCCTCGAACTGTGAGGTGCAAGTAATGCAGCCAGACTCAGTAACCAATCCGCGGCTGCCGATTCCGAAACATCTTTGCAGCAAATGCAGTCGTTCCGCAATAATTGAACGACGCATTTGCCACATTCACACCAGGATGTATTGCCAACGCGATCGGCAGGTGGCCAGCAGTCCTCTAAGCAAGCAGCAGGGTCAGTGTCGGCAGCAGCCGCTGCAGTTTCGTCAGCATTTACACCAACTTGCTCCGCACTCGCCATCTGCATGATCTCATCCTCGGTATACTCCGGTTCCTTCGCTGGCGTCCAACTCGCTCTCCTCGGAGTCACTGTCATCTCCTGACAAGGAGGTAGACCTACCCTGAATCGTCTCCGCTCTGAGCCTCATACTGCTTGACTTTCCGCCTTGGACATTCACGACTTCACTTTCTTCTCCGTCCAACTCCAAGTAAAAGTTCCGAGCTCCAGGAGCTCCTCTATCTCTTTGACGTCACAGATTCGTGACGCCATGGCGGCGCCAAAAACCGGGGATCAAAGTGATATTTCAGTTGCGTATATCTCCGGTTATAGTCACCGGATGAAGACGAGACATACACCAATCGACTCAGCTGATTTTTCCCAATAACATATCTGATTTTGATTTTAGGGTGAACTTCCCCTTTAACGTAACAATGTAGCTGGTTATCTGGACAAAAAGGACAGGAGCTAGCATGAGCTGAGCCGAGGAGGACGTGCATTGAGAGTATGTCTTCGTCGCGATGTAGCCTTTGTTACGTTTGTAGGCCAGGCCACTACTGACATGCATAAGTACTTGTGCAGCCATGCTATCATCTACACTACACTGTCTACAGCAGTAGTACTACTAGATCTGCTGAGTAGACTCTATAGTCTATTGCAGTACTGGCAGAATTTGTCTTCTAACACTAACACTAGTAGTAGATCTACATGAATCATGATACTCGCTGCCACCCACTCTAGCTCTACTGTACTGTCTCTAGTACTATACTACAGACAGTAGTTGAGTATGCATTATGTGGCGGCGGCTTATCATGATCATCATGATCATGGCCACAACTAAATTACTTGGCACAAGTAGAGGACGGAGACATGAGTCTCTGTGGCTGAATGAGTGACTCTCATCGTGTTGATACCATGGATGGCATGCGATCGAGGCGATCACAGAAAGGACACGGCCAGGCCCAAAATCTTCGAAAACTTGGCCTCCAGTTCAGGATCTAAAATAAATATTATTATCATCCAGGCGAGTGGTAATCCGCTCAAGCCAGTGGATTTCCTTGACAGACATCACACTGGACCAACATGTACGATGACAACACTGGCTAGCATCGAGTATACCGGAGGCCGAACGATGGTTCGGAAGGGTTGAAATTTCCCTGTATCCAGGCAGGTTCATCCGGTGACATCCAAGAAATCCACCACCTTCAAGTAGTAAATAGTTAGTTCGCTTCGATGGCAATCTCACTGGCCCATTGCCCACCATCCTCCAAGTCCTGGCACCTCCACCCATCTGCTGTGCACTACCTCCCCATTGCCTCTGCCCGCGCTTTCATGCTCACCCCTGCCTGTTGCCCGCCACCTTCCTGGCACTTCTACTGTCGCGCCTTGGACGGCGCCAGCTTTCTCCCCATATCTTACACTAGATTTAGCGCTAAATTTGTTTATTCTTATGGCCCTATGTCACATTATAGTATGTGTATATAAGCATACTGCTGGGTAGATCCGAGTATCAGTTGTCTGATGATTGCCTAGCGGCATGAAACTCAGAGTTACAACCAACCTGAACGTCCTCAGCTGAGTCTGCTATGAAGTACATGTTATGTACATGCATCTGTACACCACGAGCCCAACCACCCACCGTAATGACTATGATTGTATTCATCTGATCATGATCAAAACGTTACTTGCCCTCTTCCTAATCCATCATGGCAACCGTCAACAACTTACTTTAATACTACTAAACAGACATTTCAAAGGATCGAGGGACATTTCCAGGACGCGTCCTAAACTAGGCATTGGCGGATAATGCTCGAAAAGGTGGCAGATTCTGCTCGAAAAGCAGTGAAATTGGCAGAACAATACAAACCTTATGGCGGGCAATTCCTCGAATTCGGCTCCATTTCTTTATCCACATACCAAACATGCATGAAACTTACCAGAAAAAGTACCGAATTCTGCCAATTTTTCTGCCGGCATTATCCGCATATGGGTACCCTGTAAGAAGGCCTTAGGCCTGTGGGGATTGCCCTATCAAAAATTTAATAATAATAATAATAATATGCCTAGTCCTAACTGTCACAGTACAACAAATTACACTGATGCACTCGGAGATAGCGGATATATTAACGAGTCGGAGACAGTCCAGTCGGAAAAAATGGAAGAAAGAGAGAAAGTAGAAACGAAGGAGTCTTCACCGGAATGTCACATGGTTTACAAATATGTAACCCACCTTTTAGCAAGAATTTGTCGGCGAGTATCGGCCAACGGTTAAATTCTGCATCTCGTGAACAAACATTTCCACAAAGGACGCAAACAGGATAACCCGGATATCCAACCGGGACCCTCTAAAGGACAGCTACAGCTGCATACCAAATTGCAGTACCATTGGTCAAGAGACATGACAATCTACAGCGACCAACCGGGAACAAGACTACCCCGGGATCCTGATCCGACACCGGCAGGACCAAGGAACTACAAGTTACACTATAATGTCCACTAACACCACCAGTTACTAAACAATCAGCTCATGCGATAACATTGCACGACACTGACCGACGGTACTGACGTTCTACAACTACTGGGTAACAGCTCTATCACATCTTGGATGCGCACTTCAACAGCCTTCCAACTTTGGAAGGTTC